GCGCTTCGATAACGGTAGGTTCTATGATCCAATGAATGGCACGCGTTCAGGGTCATTGATGCTTCCGCGCACTGTGGTCGCTATTCTTTAGGTTGGCCAAGAGATGACATCATCCACCCTATAATTCCGCTCACTTTACTGCACTCGCTCTTGTAGAATATTTGCTTAGTTACTCAATATGCTGCACTAAAATACTGTTTCTAGTTGAACATTTATTCTACCCGCATTTCAAACCCTCTCTTTTTTCAACAATATCCTTCTAATTAACGTATACGTAAACAATTCTTCCAACGCTTAATACTGTAGATGTTCGCATCACCAACAACTTGTTGTGAAGTCGATAAAAGTGTGTTTAAAGGCTCTTGTGATAGATGTGTGTGTATTGTTTAAACTGTGAAAAATTGGGGAGAATCCAAGAAATTATAAAAGTAAGCCCATATTTTTCTTTATGCTTCGTTCAAAACCAGAAGTCTTGTTGGCTGGTAGAACAGCTGTGATATCTTCAATTAATTTCACTCAGTTATAGCAAATAATGTTATCCTGTATCACACACGTATATAGTGATGCACTATCTTTCATCCGTGAAACTGTACTGTACTATAAATCGCTTCCATGGACAAATTTCTTATGATGACATTGAAGAAAGCAATGACAACGAATGGAATAAGAGAAAATGATTCTATTTTATTTCTTTGGTATCTAGTCAACTGCCTAAAATCTTTGTAATCTAGGCAGTTAGGTATATTGCTAATTTGGTATGGTTTAGGAAGTTGAGAATAAGGGTGTTTTATTTTTTTTATTGTTATTTTTTTTTATTTTTGATTACAGCTTTATTCCACAATGTATTTTTGGCACAGTATGGAATTTTCGGCATGTGATATCGGTAGCCCAAATTTTGCAGGCCAACCATAGATATCAGGTGTGCGTCGGCAGGGGATCGAACCTCTGACCATGTGTATGGTCGGTGAGAGTCCTGACCACTGTGCCACCGACGCACTTAGAAGAGTTCTTACCTTCAATAGTTCCTCATTTTCAGTGGAACAGCCACTAGCTATACCTCTTGAATAAGCCTTATGAAGACGGGATTCTTTCATGTCTTCTAAAGGATAGTTTGACCGGTTGATTATACATTCACTTAATAATTTTATTTTCATGTAAATTTATGTTTATATGAAAATAAAATTATTATTATTATTACTTGCTGCTTCTCTTTATAGTGAGTTAACAGTTTTATTAAGCTATTACTTCTGCTACTCCAGGATTGTTTGGATATATTCTGGTGGCTATTTTTAAATAAATTTCAAACAAAACCAGTTTCAATTCTTCGATAACAACAGAAATATTTTGCGCAAAAGTGGTAGTGAAACACTGCCTTATATGCTGGGTATATCGACACTATTAACTGGTACCATCGAGGCTTTTAAAAGTGCTTCTTCAAGCCAAATATTTATTTGCATTGATCACTTTTGCCTCTCAAGTCTTGAGAACAACGTTTGGTATTTCTTCTTTGCTTTTTCTAGACGTCCAACAGAGATTTACTAGATGTAGCTGTTGTGAAGGTAAATTACCTAACCGCAAGTCTGATGATTATTGCCTCAAAATCGGAATGTTTCAGAGATGTATGATGTTGGAAAATGGAATTTGTCTCAACGAAAACTGGCGTGTTGTGGTCTGAACGTTGAAAACTAATCTTCGCGTTCTACTGTATAGCTGACCAAAACTCCCTTGAGTTATTCACAGTCCGGAAATGTCCCGGCGATGGTAAAAAGACGGCAATTTGCGGTGATATCATCTGTGGTATTGATATGTATCCACATATATATATTTATGTGTGTGTGTGCATGTTGGTCTCTCTTTCTGTTTGCTCGGTTAGTCTGTGACCACTTCACTTGTATGGACTTGTCTCCTTTAATAATGTGTATTCTCCTTATATTATATATATATAATATGAGTGTTTGTTGACAGTCAGTCCGTTGCTTGGTGACATATCCATATATGTTTGTTGG